GACATTGTACATTCGTTAAAACAAAGATTTTTATTGAATATATTTATTTTTTCTGTTTAATATTATTGGGTATGTATACATTTGCATTAAATTAATATTAAAATACTAAACGTTTAGGTACCCATGAGTCAAGATATTAAACTTAATAGTCCAATAAATGGCGTCCGAATCCATAGCGCCAATAAATGTATCCCGTATCAGTTCATTCAGGAAAACACCTTACGACGCAATAGCACTTCCGGCGATCACAAATTATCGTTAGTGAGACAAATCTACTTCTCGTTGGCCAGACGATATTTATCTCTCCTTAGCCACCTTGAATTTTCCCGCTCAAACTGACCTTATATATGCGCTACGGCGTAACTGCGGCGTAAACAGAGGGCTACCTGTATATTTATAATCAAGTTTTCATAAGTAACAACTTGTGTATATTTTAATTAATTTACAAAAAAAAATAGTTAATTATTTAAAAATTATAAATCGATAAATAAATATAATTTAATATAATTGACACTGTTCCTATTTTATTGAATTTTTTTTAATGGATATATTACTTTAATCGTATTTTTTATATTAAAATTGCTATTAAATTATTATCGCCGAGTAAATAAAGCATTGGGTAATTAAGAGTTTTCTTGGGTAAATTAATTATACAAAGCCATGAAGTATTGCTTGGGATTTGATTTATCTTGAATTAGATAAGAGAAAACAACGCAATTTTTAATATGGAAATTATTTATTAAATTTTCATTTCTTTAATTTTAAAGTATATATAATGATTTTTATAACATTCGTTCGTTCACATTTTTAGTTTATTGACTGTGAACACAAGAACTTTTTTCTATAAAAGTCCTTGTAACAATTTTTATAACCAATAAAATTTCACTCCCGCATAATTTTCGTGTCATTGGACATTTGCTTTTTCATTCTTTCTATATTTAATATTATTACGAATATTTTCGTCTATAATAACAACAATTAGATAAGATTTTGCTTTAATTTTCAAACTTTCAAAATTACCGTATAATTTTATGATTACAGTATTTTTCATTTTAATTTAAAAATATTATTTATGTTTTTTATAAATAATGAAGTTTTAATAAATAAATTAGAAAGTATTTGAATATGAATTAAATAATATTAAGTTCTGATATTTTTCACATATAATCGTTATAATACTAATACAGATATATCTATCTTAGTATAGAAATATGGAGATAGAAATTACCTATTTTCTCGAATGACAACTTACAGGCTAATTTTTCAATTGATTTCAAGATTATTTTAAGTAGTGGTATTAATATGAATCAATATGATTTGTATAGAATCAATAAAAGCTAACAGATTTTTCACTTTTTTCATATTTTTAAAATAAAATATTGATTTATGATATTTTTTGGATATCGTCAAAGCATCATATCATAAAAATACATTATTAAATTTCAGAAAAATCTGGGTGAGGTAAAAAAACCTTCTAGTCTGTAAAAGTACAATTGTTTTAATATTATTGTTTTTATATGACAGAAAAGCTTTGCCAATATATTTTTCTCATAAATTTTTTCTCGAATTCAATAAGTCGATAATAAAAATCCCACTTAATGTAAGTGATTCATTCCTGAAAATCAGACATTCTGCACAAAAACGCTAACCATTAGTCTAGTTCCCATTATTTGCATATGTACAAAATTTATGTTAAACAAATAATTGTATTGCTTTGTATGCAGTTATATACAAAATACAGTACAATGTAAAAGTACATAACTGCATCACTACGATAAATTTTACGATATGGCATGATTAATTACTAGGATTTATTACTATTCTTACACAGTTTATATTGTTTCAGGGTGTTTCGAAGAATGGATGATAACCGCAGTGGTGATTTGAATGAGGAAGAGTTTAAGAAAGGTTTAATGGAAACGGGAATGGGTAGTAGTCTTTCACCAGAAGAGATAGAAGAATTATTCAAACAATTCGACTGTGATGGATCAGGAAGTCTTAATTATGAAGAATTCATTCGCAGTGTCAGAGTGAGTTTTTTTTTCACCTTAAAATTTAATTAATCCTATATTCAATACGAACTATAATTGACTTTTGATAATTCGGATTGAAACGAAATTAAAAATTAGAATGTTGAATATTAAATTCTGTTGAAAGATATTATTCGTTTATATTTCGGGCAGTCATCATATATCTTCATAAGACATTACTATTTTTAAAAGTTGAAAAAAAATCGTTTATATTTCTGCTTAATTTATTAGAAAATTGAATGCAGTACGATGTAGTCATATATTTGCTTATATCTTTGTCTTATATTCCTTCTGATTTCTTCAGGATTACATATTTGTTTATTTAATTTATGCCATTTTCTAAATATTTTGCGTAACAATACTATCTGTTGATTTGTATAGATTTCCTATGTAATCATTAATTTTATTCTTAGCCCAGAATGTCTCCTCAAAGATTGGCGCTGGTGGAGAAAGCATTTGCTAAATTAGATAAAACGGGAGATGGAAAAATTACATTTGAAGACTTACAAGGTGTATATAATGTGAAAAATCATCCACAATATTTGAACGGACAAATAACAGAAAAGGATCTGCTTAGAAAATTCCTGGCAAATTTTGAAGAAGGGGGAGTGATAGACGGCACAGTGAGTATGATGTTATCATGACTCAAATATTAAATAAATATTAAATATTAAATCGTTATTCTTTCAGGTGACTAAAGAAGAGTTTATAAATTACTATACAGGAGTCAGCGCATCAATCGACGACGATGCTTATTTTGATTTGATGATGAGAACATCTTGGAAGTTATGAATTCGTGAATTATGATTCATCGATGAATACAGTTCCTCTTTGTCCGTTCTTTGTACGCAAGATGTTTATAACTTTTACTTTCTAGTAAAGACTATCTCCAATAACTGAAAGTTACAGCTTTGTTTTAATGATTAACATTTTATCTGCATTATTGATTATGTAGTATCTATGGAGTACCAAATAAAAGCCGATCAATTTTTCAGATAAATCGAATTCATCCAGAAAATTCGAGTAATAAAGCATTTATTTCTAGATTTGTTTAGGAGAAAAGCGAAGCCAAGCAACAAAAAGAATGATAACCCTTGGCTAGAAAATGTAGGCTACTTTTAAGCAATTGAATATATCTTTTTTAATGATATACTGCTGCCAAATTCAATTAAAGGAAGTTATTTAAAATACAGTATATGTATAACGAAATTTTTATATATTCTATCATATATTGAAAAATTTCAATTTTTGATTGAATATCTATCCAATCATTGAGTGAAATTTGTTAAAAACTTCTGATATTCAAAAATTATAAATTACGATCGGATATCAAAAAATATAAATTCATATTTTCATCTCTGTATGATATTGTCACATATAAATTTCATTTTCTGCTTAAACGTTTTTTCTTTTATTAACAGAAAACGTGTTTGTTTGCAGTACGCACATCAAATTCCTTTTTTTAAACATTAAAGTGATTGTTTCATTTGCTGTATATTTTAAATACTGTATTACCACTTTTTACTAGAATTCATTTTCAATAATTGTGATAATATGTATTTCTCGTGCCCAATTAATTCTTGAATGTATATATATTTATTCAATAAACTGTTAAGTTATATAATTGTGTATTTTAATAATTTTCTGTTATGGTGTCTATAATGCAGCAATTCCAGAAAATAAGTTCGTTGCAAACTATTTACAATACGTTCTTACTCTGACCACTTTATATAGTCATGAATGAAAAATCATTTGTTCTTATCCCCAAAATTACAATAACTGACTCTTTAAGACAAATACTGGCTCTAAGTATTTTACAGAATACAAAAAGGCAAACAAAAGTCCAAGGCATAAGGTTACATAACTCAATCACTTTTACGATTAGAATTTGTGTAATATTTTACTCGACCCCAGGGTGAAGCAAGTGCCCCGTTTGTCCTCCTTGCGACACCCATGTTTATATTTCTTTTTACAATGCATCAAATTTTTTAATACAGTGGTACCTCAGGATACGAAATTAATCCGTTCCGAAACTAAGATCGTATCATGAAAATGTCGTAAGGTGGATCATCTTTTCCCATACGATTACATGTAAAACCAAATAATTCGTTCCAACGCGAAAAACATACTCAAATTAAAGCCAAGTAATACATTAAAAAAAATAACTGTAGTAAGAAAAACAAATGAAAAATGCAAACTAATGTAACGTCGTATGGTGAGTTTTTGTTCGTATCGTGGAGCAAAAATATGCTCGAATTTCATGTCGTATCCTGAAAATTTCGTATGCTGGGGCGTTCGTAACCTGAGGTACCACTGTACTAGAGATGATATCGCCGTAGTGTGTCAGTTTTTTCCTGTAAATCTTCGAAAATTGCCATTCTCACGTATGGTGATCTTACTAATTTCTAAAATCGGAATATTTTGATGATAATGCTCAGATATATTACCGATTAGACCTGAATTTCTTGTCACGTATCAAAAGCAACTGCTTAATATAGACTATATGTTACTGTAAATAAACGAAAATTATTTTAGAGGAATATTAATATGCTTCCTGTATATTACAAAATTAGTACTATAATTTATATGACAAAGTTTCTGTATTATTTAAAATATAGTTTCTATATTTAAATAACTTAACGCAAACAATAACTAAATAAAGAAATAATAGTAGGACAATCTATCAATTCTTATTTTATGCGAAACAAAACAGGAAATAACGGATTGCTATCGTTTTCATGACATCTTAATACACAAAAAATAATAATAGTCTACATACTGTACTAACAGAATTTGAATGATCTCAATACTGTAATGTACTATTTTAAAAAATTGCATACATGAAACGATTAATAATATCAAACTCCAAGAGCAATTAAAAAATGAATTTAACACATCATTGTTATAGTTTCTAAACATCAATAATATAAGAAAATGTATTGTACGTTTTTTCACACAACTGAATTTAATAAATTTCAGACTGTCTGTCCCAGCTAAATGAAATTTCCCACTAGATGGCATTAAGAGTCAGACATGACATGTTTTAAAATGTTACGACGCAAAATTTAGACGGAAAAAAAAAAGGTTTGTAAGGGATGTACAAAATGGGTGCTTTTTGTTTGTTTGTTTGTGTGTATCGAGAACTGTATGCCTCTTCAACCGTAAGATAAAGTTTGACTTTACTTTGTTTTAATAGTTTAAAGTGTTTGTAAAGTTTGTCGATTAGATTTGAGAAATTGACGCCAAATCTTAGCCGAAAAATAGTGGTCCTTGGAGGTTGGTTAGACAGTGCTACGATTCTTTCTGTTTAGCGACTTGCTTCCTTCCACAAATAGGTACTTCGCTTGTGTGGCTCACGCAACTGTCTGTTCAGTGACAGTTACCGAGTCACCTCAACAGTAATTCATTCCCCAAAGCCACTGGACAGGGAGGTCATGACCGAAAATACTAGGAAGGGGAAGCTCCCCTTCCTAGTATTTTCGGTCATGACCTCCCTGTCCTCGTCGGGGTAAGTACTTCTTGTATTTTTCGGGCCATTCGTAGCCGTGGCCCAAGAGAAATGAGTCGCTCCATGGGAGTCGGCCCGGATCTGTCACCGCAACAGACGGACTTTCTCCGGACGTAGTACGAACGTTTTCACACTTACCCGAACGCGAGAAATTACGCCACTGTCCAATGGAGCTCCCGGCTCAACAGGCATTCACAGCATTCCTAAAGGGGCAATCCCCCTTGCTGAAACCCGGTCTTGTTACATGCTGCTCTGAAACTTCATTTTGAAGATCCTGGTCATCTTGGTCGGGTTTTCTGATCTTAAAAACCTGTGAGGTCAGCATGGCATAAGAGGCTCTCCACCAACTCGACTTGGTCGGTGGGGAGGCCGTAGTTTGGGTCCATCCAGCTGGCCCTGCATGATGCCCAAACTATGCTACTTGTCTGAAACGTCAACATCTATCTCACCCCATGACTATGCTATGCCTTCTAAAAAACCAAGGCCTCCCAGTTCTTGAAGTGTGGTGTTTTACCCAAAAATAGAACAGCAGGCCCTCCCTTAGTGGCACTATACTCTTTTCCATAGTGAAATGACGCTCACCCAACTAAAACTTTTATTTCCAATGTCATAGCTGTGATCTCTTTGTCCCCATCCTTTGATGTGCTTTGAGTGCTTTCTGCCCAATTCTGTTGTGGGAACCACCGGTGTGTGGGCTGCAGGGCAAACCAAGATTCCTTGGCCTGCATTTCAGCTGGCACTCGTGGGTGGTGCAACAGCCCTTGTCATGTGGACTCTGAAAATTACCCCTGTTACAAATCTGACTATACGAAACAAAACAAGAAATAAGATTACTATCATTATAATGGCATCTTAATACACAAAAAACAATAGTCTTCCTTCCACAAATAGGTACTTCATTACACTAACAAAATTTGAATGTCCTCAATAATGTATCTTAATTTTTAAAAAAAATGCATACACAAAACAATAATGATCCTTGGGTTCAACGTCACTCTCTGATGCTCCTAGCAAGAGATGAAACTCTGCTTGGCCATTCCTCCCAATATCATTTCCCTCGCCTCCTATTCAGCTGTTGCTGCCTGGGCTTGCCAATTGCCCATCTCACCCTAGAAAAGCTACGTTGTTTCGAGCAGCCATTGTCCCCGCTTGAGCTTCAGTCTGCTCCCTGAAGCAAACCATTATGCCCTCGAAGAGGAACTACAACTCATCCGTGCCATATTAGGCAATAAGCTGTTGGGTGCATCCCCTCTTCCAGATGCACACCAAGGGCACCCCCCTCTGTCCCTTTTACCACAGGTGCCAAAATGTCTTTCAACTCTGCCTAACTCCTCAGACTACCTGGCCAAGCAGGAAAAGAAACGAGGGGCCTGTTCCTGCAAACCAATTTCAGAGCCATCCTCCAACACTGAAAGGAACTGTCTTGGAACTGGACCCACACATCCCTTCTCCCTCCTGCAGAGCACTTCTCCCTATGACCACCTCCATCTGTCACAGATGCTGTTAAAACCCATAATTGCTCATCCTTGATAACTAAAGGTTATGCACTGTAACAACCCCTACCCATCAATGCTCCAGATACTCTTATGGAACACTTGGGAATCTGGTCAAAGTGCAACTTCTTGCTGGGGATGGATTAGTTCACATGGGCAGACATCCTCCTACTCCAGGAAATGCGGACTTTTTTTTTTTTAACTCTTTCCACCCTGTGGGCACTAGAGGGTGTCTTTTTGCAAGCCCATTATGGGTTCAGCCAGGCCCACAATGGGGCTGCCGGGTGGTGAGGAATGGGGCCCGACATATCCGAATGGACCACCCCCAAAAAATTCCAGGAGATTTTTCGACCCATTCAGATTCGAACCCAGGTCCCCAGAGTGGTAGGCTGCCACCTTGACCACTCAGCCATCCGGCTGCAGGAAATGTGGACTGATGCAGGGAACTTTGCTACCACCATTGTGAATCACTGGCCAGTGGCTTGGCTTCCTCCCATACCAAGGTGTGGAGGAAGCTTTGGGTAGCTATTCACCACTACATTATAGTTGTGAGGGCGAGAGGTCACTGGACCTATGTGGTAGCTCTTGACCTGGAGGGAGTGTACAACTCTGTCTGCCAACAGGGCTTATTGACAAAACTAGCCAGTTTGGGGATTAGTGGCAAAACTCTAACTTGGCGCCCTGTACCTTTTTGTGTTTGATGGAAAAGCCCCTGTCCCGTCCATACCCCTTTGTCAGGGGTCCCACAGGGGAGTGTTTTGGCCCCGTTCCTCTTCACCAGTTATATGGCTGACCTCTGGGAGATTGTTCCTTCAAATGTTATAGGCATTCTCTATGCTGACAACTTATACTTTATCTCTGCCAGCCCTCATCAACCGACGGCTTCCTCATGACTGCAGACCACTTTCACACACATCAAACAATGGGCAACTACCTGGAGCCACACTTTTTTGGCAAAGAAAAGCATCTCAATAGACTTTTCACCATGGCAGAATCACTCCCCTGAGGCTGACTCTTTGCACGGGCACCTACCTCCAGGTCGCTAGCCTTCATATTTTGGGGATTTACTTCCATCAATCCTTTATATGGATGGCACACAGTGCCTACCTTTGTACCAAATTGGCCTGGGCAGGATGCTATCTTAAATTCTTTGCCCCTCCAGAATGGCACCAGGACCAAAGACCTGAAAATGGTCTCCACTGTGCTTTGCCTGATTGCAGACTTTGGGATCCAATTCTGGAAGATACATCTTCCAGCTATTATCATCAGATAAAACAGCTGATCACTGCAGCCCTCAGCTGGACAGCAATTGGTGCCCCTCACTCCACACTACTCATTTTCCTCTACTCTGAAGTGGGTTACATCTCCACCCATACCCAGTCCATTAAATTTCTTGTTGGCCACATTGTACGGGGCCCTTAGAGCCTGCTCTATTCCATCATCCAGGCGGTGTCCAGCCTAGGCTTCTACTGGTGGAGGAATCACCAACAGCCGAGTGTATTCTGGACATTGACACTCCTTCAAAGGGCTGACATCCACATTTCCCACAGCTTCCCCTCTCCAATATCACAAATCAAATCCTACTTGACAAATTTGTGGTGTGTGGCAACTATCCCCCCTCTTGCTCTTACAGCCATGTTCCAGCCTACAGCACCTGGCCTGGGCATGGATGTCTCGAAAAACCCTCCTGCATCCTACAA